GAGTCCTCGTAACTAGTTGAGCCCATAGTATTTATGACTCTTGACTTCAATAAACTAGTTGAGCCCGTTCAAGTTCACTGAGCTAAGGAATCGAGGTGAACGGACTCTTTAAGGCTTGAAAATCGAATTTTTATGTAATTTTTGATATAATTTGGTTTGTCACTTGATTTCAACTCATTAATATTAATATACGAGTCAAACTTGAGCTCGTTTTGTTGGCTCACGCAGTTAATGAGTCGAGCTCGACTCGATAAAAACTCAAGCCTAAGCACGAGCTTGGTTCGGCTGGTTTATACCTTTATTTACAATTATCGAAATAAATGTGTAATAATTTTGTGATCTTATTATTATTATATAAAAAAAGTAAAATAAAATCCATGCCAATTACATGTGAACAAGTCAAATTCATGGGCACAATTAGACATTGGGTAAATCCATTTTCGGACATTTTGTTGTCTTTTATTTAACTAATACTCGATATTAATTTAGGAAATACAAGTACATACAGGGCCGCCTCCAGAAATTCGGAGGCCCTAAATAAGTTTTTTCTTTTTGAATTTTCTCGATTTGAACTTACGTGGTAATTAGGGCTATTCGCAAATAGAATCATAAATTTTAACCAGACTATTAAATAAATAAATAAATAATTGAAAAAAAAAAGATTTTTCTTGTCTTTCTTGAACTTGGAATTGATAAATTACCTACGGGTTACAAAGATATTTAATAAATTATAATCAACCAATCACTAGGACAACAAAGAGAAGAAAATAAAAATCGTATCACTACAAAGAATATTTATTCTCACACAACTTGTTATGACCGAATATCATACGAAAACAAATGAATATTTAGGGTCTCAATTTTCCACACAAACTACATATTTTGCCATTATCTCCTTCATTTGTGTAATGGCTCAAGTCCATATTTAGCCATTAACACTTTCATTTGTGTAAATATTGTGTAAATAGACAAAATTCAACACAAATACATAATATTAAAAAAAATAATGAGGATTTATTTGTGTAGATAGACAAAACTCAACACAAATACATAATATTAGAAAAAATAATGAGGCCCCAAATAAAATAGAGGCCCTAGGCCCATGCCTAGGTTGCCTCCCCTTGGAGCCGCTCCTGAGTACATAGAGGTGTACATAACACTCACATAGAGTGGAGTCCACTTAATTTTTTTATTTTTAGTGAGTCCCACCCAATGTGAGTGTTATGTACATTCCTGTGTACAATGTTATGTACTTTTAGGCCTCATTTACTTGGATGGATGGAATTGGACACAATAATCCCATTTACCTTTACACATCAGCACAAAATCAGGTTTACAAAATCCCTATCAAGCATTTACTTGGGCGTAATAAATTTACCTAATTACCT